GAGAGAGAGAGAGAGAGAAGACAACAAATGAACTTAAATATAAAACAAACAGACTCACAGACATAGAATACAAACTTGTGGTTGCCAGGTGGGAGGCGGATAGATAGGGACAGACTGGGAGTTTGAAATTTGTAGATACCGATAGGTATATACAGAACAGATAAACAAATTTATACTGTATACATGCAGAGAAATAAATACAAGATCTTGTAGTAGCTCACAGTGAAAAAGAAATACGAAAATTATTACATGTATATTCATGTATAACTGAAAAATTGTGTACACCAGAAATTGACACAACATTGTAAACTGACTATAACTCAAAAGAAAGGTTTTTTAAGGAAATCTGCTTTATCATTTAATCAAAAAAAAGAATTAAGTTATAACTCTAAAATATGTAACTTTAAAATATAAAATCATTTACAAAAGGAGTTCACAATAATCATAAATATGCAAATTTTGCTTTCGCTATTCAAATTTAATATATTGTATTTGAGGGGTTTTTTTTATACATTAAATATAGGAAAAGTACAATTGTACTAAAAAAGAAAAACTTAACAACTACTGTTTTGAATCTGAACCTATTTAGCAATGATAAATACTGTATTACATAGATATATGAAAGGAAATTGTTGAGGAAGGTCCATACTACTAAAAAAAAATCTCTGAAGGCAACATTATATATTTTAAATATAGCCAAGTGGATTCAAACCAACTGTATCCAAAGAGAAATGAAGATTTTAGCTTAGAGGAGGTCTCTAGAGTATTCAACATTAGTGATTTCTGGATTTCACAGACTAACAAAATCTCAAAGCACCACAGTGTTGCACACTTATTTTTAAGAATAGTTTCCAAAAATAAACAAAAAAAACTTCTAAAACTAAATTTTTAAAAAGCACAATTTATAACCTGAAAAGTCAAAGGCTATATTAGAATAAAAGTCCTTTCCAAGAATGCAGTAACTTCACACTGACATATACTACATATACAGTACACTACTGTCCTTATTTTTCTTGTCTAATCCAAATGTGTGAAAACATCGTCAGAAGCCAAAGGTTGTACACTGGTGTTAGGGAGCAACTGTTACACGGCCTTTTAAAAAATTAAATTCAACTAGTACCACATGTCTGGCACTGTGCTATGTTCTGGGGATACAATGATGAGTACAAGAAACACGGTTCTTGCCACCACTGAGCATCTGATACAGTGGGGACAACAATCATACCAAGAAAGACATAATTACAAAATGGTAAGTGTGAAGCCAAACAAGTACAGGGTACTACAAAAGCCTGTAAAAGGAGGACTTGACCTAGTCTTGTGTCAGGGAAGAAGTCCTTGGGCAAACAACTGATTTGCTATCAGTCAGTTAGCCAGAGAAGAGGGACAGAGGCATGTCAAGGGGAGGACATTCCAGGCAAAGGTTATAGAAAGTGCCTAACATAGGAAGGGGTACGGCTGACTTTGAGGTAATTAAAAAAAAAAAAAAAGCCAGAGTGACTAAAATAGAGAGGGAGAGAGGGAGACTGGCAACAAGAGATGGGATGTTTACCATTTTTGCTGATGTCCTGAAGACAAGACTACATGCCTGCCCAATCTGTGGATGATTAAAACTGGAATGAATGAAGATCTACTGAATACCACAATCAAGACTGAAAGGGGATACTGATTTTCTGAAATAGAATAAATTATATCAAATATGACTAAAACGTCAAATCCTGAATATGCTTTGAAAAGGCAACTGCACAAAAGCACAAGGGTAAGATATGCTTAAAAGCAATTAAAATTAAAAGGTCTGAGGGTATCAGTCAAAATAATTCAACAGTTAAGAGGCCAAAATGCTGAAATAATCCTGAACTCTTGCTAGAAGCAAATGTCCAGAGGAAGAGCCTACCCACTGTGCTCTGTAATGGTTCTAGCACACTAAGTTCAGTAACCAGCTCTAAGGAGTCACACTTTTAAAGGGCACTAATCGCTTGAACATATTTAGGAGAGCACATAAGATGTTACAAATCTAGAAAAGGAAGCAATTTATTCTAGATAATCATAGTTCAGTAACAACATGGAGCAACATGATAGGTTTGTTCAAATACTTCAAGAGCTTTCATGTGGAAGAGGAAGTAACAGTTATTTTATATGGTTACAGAGAACAGAACGGCCAAATTATAAATTAGGCAGATTTCGGGTCAATATAAGAATTTCCTATCATTCATAATTATCCAGCAGGGTTAAGAGCTACCTTGTAATGCCTGTGAGCTTGCTTTCATTGGAAATGTGGAGTTGTTTAAATAAAGATAAGACATTCATCTAATAAGTGTTTTATAGATTTCTGCTTGAGTAATAAGTGGAGAAGGTGACCTCTAACCTAAAATTTCACTCCCAAAGTAAAACTTAAATTCCCTCTAGTGTTCCTGTACTAATCCAATCAAAATGCAATAAAATATTCCAATTAATCAGACCGAAAACTTTAAACTTACACTTAAAATTCTTAACAAAGAAAAAATTAAACTTTTGAAATATATGGTTTTAATATTTTATGTAAAACATATAATAGTTTAATCAATGTGCCCACCAGATATTTTAAAAGATTTAGTTGCTTGTTTATTGAGTTAGGAAATGGTCCCTTTTGTTTCTACATTGTTTTGATCTGATGCCCTAATTTTGTTTTTTATTTAAAAAAGTTTAATTGAAGTATAGTTGACCTACAATATCGTGTTAGTTTCAGGCGTACAGCAAAGTGATTTAGTTATATATATATTTGATTCTTTTCCATTACAGGTTTTTACAACATATTGACTATTGATTCCTGTGCTATACAGTAAATCCTTGTTTACCTTTGGTAACCATAAGTTTGTTTTCTATGTCTGAGTCTTTTCTTGTTGTGTAAACAAATTTATTTGTATTAATTTTTTAGATTCTACATATAAGTGATATTATATTTATCTCTGTCTGTCTGTCTTTACTTAGTATGATACACCCAACTTTCAATAAGGTTTACAATTTGAGGCAAGATACTAACTTGTTATCCTGAATTGCACTTGGTATCTGAGAAACCTGATTATTTCTTGGATTAAAAGGGAACATTACCTAGAGAGTACTGAGAGAGCACGGAACAGTGGTTCTCAACCTGGTTCGGTGGAAAGGGCCTGTGATTTACAGTTCATTTTGAATGTCACAAAATAATGATAAATATTAACATCCATCATGAGTATAAAAATATGGCTATGTAATCTACATGCGAAATAGAACTACAGCCAAGGGTGCATGTCTGTTCACAAAACAATGTGCTGAGGCCACCCTCTAGTCACCCACCCCAGGTTTTTCAATGTCCCTCTTTGGTGACTCTGCACATTCTTCCATCACAGCACACAACATCAGCTGGGTCACCTGACCATCCCCCTCTGTGAGCTTCTTAAGGGTGGCAGCTGTGTTCTCTCTAATGGCAGATACAGAAGCACACAATAAATGTTTATAAATGGATACAGTAAATACTGTTGAGTTTGGGGGGGGTTTATTATTCACTTAGTAGTCTTGATTTTTGTTAACTTGTTCAGTCATCTACTAATATCAACTTAGAAGCTGAAGTGAAAAAAACATGGAAAAAATATAAAATTATAAAAATTTATCATTAACATTTATGTGGACTGAGAAATATTATTTGGTATGAGCAAAATACTCCCCCTAGATAATGAAACAGTATTAAATAGGAACTTTATTTGCAAACCACTTGCGTAGAACTCAGCAAAAGACAAATTTCTGGTCAAGATTTCTCAAAGAACTGGCAGCTCCCATACTACTGCATCACCTATAATTTAGTCCTTTATAACAGAATAACAATGTGCTTTCAAAAAACATTTGAAGGATTTTCTAAATAAAGAATAACCGTTATTTTGAAACACATAAGAATATCAAGGATTCCAAAAATGCCACATTCTCTAGTGGGTGGTAACATACACTTGATCACTTCTTTTTCTAACAAATAAATTGCTGTAGTTCAAATACTCTTTATAAAGATACAAAAATCACAACATGGGTAACTAGGGAAAAAACCCTCCATGAAAATTTAAGCCACATCCATTCATAAAAGGATTAAAGCAAAGATGAAAAGGGTGAAAGTGCAACAAGATGACTAGTTCACAAATACTGTAGTATTTAGAAAACCTCTCTGAAAACTGCTCTCCGTGAAACTTTGTATCAAATTCTTTATTTACAAAAGAGATATTTATAATTGAAATAATCAACTATTTTTACTGTTAAGGCTGCTTTAGCATCAGTGATAAAAACTAAGAACTACAAAGTAGGTCCCTAAAGTTACTATTTATTTTACTATTCATTGCTTACTCAAACTCTAGATCTGTAAACAGATCATCAGCTGTCCTGCAAGACAAGAAATTAACAGCAGCTATAATAGATCATATGAAACAATCAGACTAGTCAGTTACTAGGGTCGGGAATACATGGCCTGGGCTGAAAGATCTTAATCAGACAAAAATTGTATAGAAAGGAAAACAACAAAAGGATAGTAGTACTTGGAGACTGAAAACATGGATTTCTGGTATCACCAGTGTGTTTACTAAATACATTTCATACTAGGAAAAATGCACTAACTAGACTTGTAAGAATTCTCTCTGGACCTTCTCCGCATTTTTGGGAGGAAGAGGGGAAGGAAAGTGTGTCAAGTATATAGATGTGAGCTAAGAAAGATCAGGCCACACACACTAAATACAAAGTTCACTTACACCAAATGACAAACATATTCTGAAAACGTACAGTCATATCCTGGAAGAAAATATTTAGAAACTGTAGCCAGGCAGCATCAGAGGAAAAGAAAAAAAATTCATACTATTTTTGAATTTCGAATTCAGAGCGCATTACTTCTTAGAAGGCTGACTTCAATACTGAGGTTGCTAATTTAGAATCGTTGCTCAGGCACACCTCTTGCCCCACATGAAAATTCCGAATGGATGCATCTCATTTTATAGCAAGAAAAACGGGCGGGAGGAGGTGTAAAAGAATCAGAAGATATAAGAATTATAAACCATAGGAAGTGTCACGGCCGCGTTATAAATAAATTTGGACGTATACCGCAATTTTAAAGAGGCTGGGAATACATCTGAACATAATAGTAAACCCACATTCTGTAACACGATACCAATAGCGGAAAGAAATCATTTCAACAGCAAACACAGGAGGCTCCTGTTTCAGGAATGATTACTACAATTAAGCAGCAAGGAACGGTCTCAGCTGGGTCTCACCGTAAGTGGTTTGACATGGTAAGGCCTTTGGGAAGGGGAGCAGCTTAAGCTAATTTAGAAAGGGAGGGAGGGTTAAGTAGACCAACTTGGCCATTTCTGAGCCACTGCCCAGGGACGGGTTTTTCTAACCTGGGGTGTCCAGTGCGGCGGAGGCGCACGGGCTTCTAGCAGCACTAGTGTTGACTAAACGCACCCGCCACCCTCCCGCCGCCCTCTCTGTCTCAGCCCCTCATCAAGCGCACCTGCACTTGTAACCAACAGCTACGTCTGCTGGCGGACTGACTGCGCCGGCGGCAATATTCAAATCCGGATCCGCACTCGAAGAAGAAAAACTCTCTCCTGGTACCCTAGAACCTCCCCCAAACGGGACAAGCCACCTCCACGCCCTGCCACTGGAAACCGCAGGGGTTAGAGACGGTGGGACCACAGAAGGCCCTCCCTAGCCAGCCCCGCGCCCTAAGGCGAGGCCTAGAAAGGGCGGCAGGGCCAGGCCTGTCTCCCCGCGGGAGCTCGGCGCGTCAGTGGAGGTCTGGCCGGCCTTTCTACTCCTGACCCGAGAGTTGGGAGGCAGCTGGGAAGAGAGGCAGCAACAGACCAGCGCTGCGGAGCTCACCCCAGGTTCAAGGCATCGCGCTTCCGGCTGCAGAGGCGCCGCCTCAGCCAGCCGCTCAGAACCTCGGGCGTTGGCGGCTGCAGCTCCGTCCGCGACCCAGTCGCACTTCAGTGACGCACAAGCCCCGCCCCCAGAGCGTTGCCTGGAGACAGTGCCCAACGTTCCTCCCCAGAGCTCAGCTCGCTGGCTTCGCTTCTCCTGAGCAGGAAAGGCCATTCGAGAGGGAAGGGTGGTGGCGAAGGCCAAGGAGTGGGTCGTGCCTTAGTGGCGCTGGGAGAGGCCTCAGCCTGGTGCCATCTCCAGAGCCGGCTGTCGATGTGCCCAGCCGGTGACTGACACTATGAGCCCTGGTTTGGTCAAGGGTTGAATATCAGGCCACTATTTATTAGGACTCCAACCTCCCACTGGTTATCACAAAGATCGTCTCGTTTCTTTATCGTTGGGGGCTGATAATGCTCACCTAGCTAGATTAAGAAGCATAAAAGAGAATATGTATGGGGGAGGGGAGTAAGAAAATAGCTTTTTTCTTTTTTTTAGAATGCACTTGAGCCTATATGACGACCAGTATAAAATAACCAGCAAGGTCCTACCATATAGCACAGGAAACTATATTCATTATCTTGTAGTAACCGATAATGAAAAAGTATATATGTGTGTAACTGAATCACTATGATGTACACCAGAGACTTAACACAACATTGTAAATCGACTACACTTCAATTTAAAAAATAAAAATTAAAACATTAAAAAAATTAAAATAGTATGTCGTGACATCCTTCCCTATCAATAAATAGAAAACCACATCATCAAAAAAAGAAAGAAAAGCAAAGAAAGAAGACCCAGTCTTAGATGAATCTGGGAGGTGGGCATTTTAATACTTTTTTATCCCATGACAAATACAAAATCATAATCACTAACATATGTACCCTCAAATAGAAACATCTGAAATTATACTGAAAGAAAAAAGCTAAACTCAAAAGGCTACAAACCGGTGGGAGGTTATAACTCAAGTGATAGAGCACATGCTTAGCATGCAGGAGGTCCTGGGTTCAATGCCTAGTACCTCCTCCAAAAGTAAATAAACCAAATACCTCCTGACTCTAAAATAATAATAATAAAAAAAGAACAAGGCTACAAACTGTATGATTTCATTTATAGAACATTCTCAAAATGACAAAGTTACAGAGATGGAGAACAGATTAGTGGTTGCCAGGGGTGAGAAATTGGGAGGGTAAGGGGAGAGAGAAGGACAGGGGTGTGACCCTAAGAGAGGGGTATTTGTGGTGATGGAGTGATGGAGCAGGGCTGTATCTTGATTATGGAGTTGACATACAAATTGACACATTATAAAATTGCATAGAACTTCAGACACACACAAGTGCATATAAAACTGGTAAAATCCGAGTAAGATTTGTGGATTGTACCAATGTCAATTTCCTGGTTTTGTTACAGTTATTAAAACATTACTATTGAGGGAAACTAGGTGAAGACTACATAGGACCTCTTTGTACTTTTAAAACTTACTGTGAATCTATAATTATTTCAAAATAAAATAATAATAAAAAATACTGCAAAAAAATGCATAGAAAGTAACCGGCACGGGGTCCAAAATAGTAAGCCCTAGTAATGGCAGCTATTATTATGAACACGTGTTGGCAATATCATGGCTTTTCAGAACACCTGTTGTCAATAATTGCTATCTATCAAGCATCTGTTGTATGCCAAATACTATACCAGGCACTTCACAGGCATTGCTCTTATTTAAGTAGTTCACTCAGTTACACAGCCAGTAAACAACAGAGCAATGGTTTAAACCCAGGTATGACTGACACTATCGCCTTTATGCTTAGCAGCTAAATTAAACTACTTCTTATGCTGGTTAATGTTTCCACACATCCTTCCTCAGTCATTTGTAGATTTACCTTATGAAGAACTAATCTTGTCCTCTAATAATAGATAAATATTTTTGATCATTTACTGTGTGCCAAACTCTGTTCTAAGTACTTTAAAGGTGCTCACTTAACCCTTACAGCAATCCTAGGAGGTAGGTTCTTACTAATACTCTCATTTCACATTTAAAGAAACAGGCTTAGAAAAGACAATTAAGTTTTCCAAGGTCAACCAACCAGTAAGGAACAGAGGCAGATTCAAACCCAAGGTGACCAAACCCTGAGTCTGTACTTAAAGCTGTTGTGCAAACTGCCTCTGAAAGATTGTAAAATTTCATCAGGGCCAGGTCCACGTATCTGTGTACTCCTTTTTGGTACATTATGGAGAGTGTACTGAGGATTGTTTCCCTGACAATCTGCACAAAGCCTGGCATGCAATAGTTGTTCAACATGTGAACCTTTGATGAATATTTGAATGTGGGAGAAACTAAGAGCTTAGTAATGATCTGTAAATAATGATTTAGTAATTTTTTTAAAAATCCAATTAAATTCAGCAAGTTCCTATAGTTGAGTCTAACCTGGGCCAGGAGTCAGAAATATTTCCTTGAAAAAAATTGCCTACAATTAAATATAGTGTTGGAGGGTCTAGTCAGTGGAATAAAACAAGACAAAGAAAAAATTTTAAAGCATCTAGATTGGAAAGAAAAAAGTAACACTGTATTTGCAGACAAAAATACTATGGGATTCTACAAAAGCAAGCCACTAGAACTGGAAGTGAGCTTAGCAAAGTTGTGGGATACCAAGTCAATATACAAAATCAGTTGTGTTTCTCTATGCTACCAATGAATAATTAGATACTGAAATTTTAAAAATACCATTTAGCAGGAAATAAAAAAGCCCCCAAACAAACAAACAAAAAATAACTTGGGGATAAATTTGACCAAATGTGAAAGACATAGAAACTGAAAACTACAAAATATTGAGAGAGAAATTAAAGCTCTAAATACAGTGACATCATGTTCTTGGATCAGAAGATACAATATTTTTAAGATGCCATTTAACTCTGAATTGATCTGTAGCCTTAAGACAAGTTCAATAGAAATTGGAAAATTTGTGGAAATTGCAAAGTTTATTCTAAAATTTCAATGAAAATGGAAAGGACCCAGAGTAGTCAAAACTTTGACCAAGAAAAACGAAATTGAAGGACACACACTACCTGATTTCAAGACATTATAAGACATACAGTAATCAACACGTTGTGGTATCATTGTAAAGACAGATAAATAGAACAATATAACAGAATAGAGAGTCCAGAGATAGACCTACACATACCTGGTCAATTGATTTTCAACAAATATACCAAGTAATTCAATGGGGGACGGATAATCTTTTCAACAAATGATGCTGGAACAATTGGATAGCATATATCAAAAAATTAAAAAAAAAGAATCTTGATCCTTTCCTTATACCAAATGTAAAACTTAAAAGTGGATCATAAATCTAAATTTAGGAGTTAAAATTATAAAACTTACAGAAGAGAACATAGGAGAAAAATCTTAGTGACCTCGGACATGGCAAAGATTAAGAACACGGCACAAAAACACAATCCATAAAAGAAAAAAATGGATAAATTTTAGTTCCTCAAAATTAAAACAACTGCTTTTCAACATACACTTAAGAAAATGAAAAGGGAAGCCATAGGCTGGAAGAAAGTATTTGCAAAACATATTTGACAATGCTCTTCTAACTAGAATATGTTAAAAAAAAACTCATATAATTTAGTAAGAAAACAACTAATCTTTATAAATGGACAAAAAATTTAAATAGACACTTCACCAAAGAAGATATATGGGTGACAAAATAAGCACATGAAGATATGCTTAACAGCATTATCACTGGGGAAATGCAAATTAGAAGTACAATGAGATGTCACAGCACACCCTGGTCCCTAGAATGACCAAAATTTAAAAAGCTGATCATATAAAGTGTTGACTGGTAAGAATAGGAAACAACTGGAATTCTCAAATACTGCATGTTAAGAATGTAAAACTGATAAACTTTTTTGGGAAAAAGTTTGGCCTTTTTTAAAAGAGCTACATATATCTATCATATGATCGAGCCATTCCACTAGGTATTTACCCTCAAAGACTTGTATGTGAATATTCCTGACAGAATTATTTGTAATTCTGCCCAAACTGGAAAAAACTCAAATGTCCCTCAGTTGGTGAATGGAAAGTAAACTGTGGTTTAGCCACACAAAGGAATACTACTCAGGAATAAAAAACAAGGAGCAACTGATATACTCAACAACATGGGTGAATCTCAAAATAATTATTCTGAGTGAAAGAAGCCAGACTAGAAAACCATACTGTGTGATCCCATTGATAAAAAATTGTAGAGAATCCAACCTGTAGAGTGACACAAAGATCAGTAGTTGCTTGGGGTGGGAAGTTAAAAGGTGATGGGGTGGAGATGAGTAGGAGACTGGTATTACGAAGGGGTGGGAGGAAACTTCTTGGAGTGATGGATATGTTCATTTTCTTAATTATAGTGATGATTTCATAGGTGTATACATATGTCATAACTTCTCAAATTATGCACTTTTATCATGTGCGGTTTATTATAAGCAAATTATACCTCAATGATATTGGGAGGGAAAAAGACATATCTATTTAAAATTTAAGAGGCTTCATATTTCAGGCTAATCTAAGCCTGGAGTCAGGAAAATCACTCTGCAAATTGCCTTCAATTTTATAAAATAGGGCCAGTACTCTTTTATACCTCATGGAGAGTATAGTGAGGATTAGACTATAGGCAAGACTACAAGACTGAAATATTTTTAAATTAGTATTGAATTAGTGTTTTTATTGACATCTCTAGATGGTTCTTTCTCCTCACTACAGCTTTTTTCTTAACTTTGCACAAACACAATGAAGTAGCTAGAAAGTAAAACAGAGTAAGACAATAAGAATTATCTTAAATAGAAGAGGTTAGAAATTCTCTCTGAAATAGGACTTGTGAAGTTGTTTTGTACCAAGATAAGGAAACCTTTATTTTTCTTTCTATGTAAAAAAAAGTAGGGGAAAAAATGTTTATAGGAAACCATGAATATAAATGTGAATAGTTATGGGAGAAGAAACCTGTAAGTTAATTCTTTTATAAGAAGAAGGATCCTTTT